TCTCAATGGGACTTCCTGGTTAAATAAGGGTTGAATAAATAGAATAAATCACAACAAAAGTAGGTACAATTTCATGTGAATTTCACTACAGGAGAGACTTGATGTTCTCTGCAAATATTTGCAAAAAATACATGATGAGACTAGACAACTTTGAAGATCCTTCCAATTTAATTTAAGACAATTTCATATTTCTTCAGGCCTTTTAAGAACAGTTGAATTCTTTTTTAAGGACCTGTGGCCACCCTGCAAACGAGTAATCAGTCAACTGAGAAAATAATCTTCAGATTAATCGATAATGAAAATATTAGTTAGTTGCAACCCCAATTTCAGCACCCCTGGTTTGATGTCATTCCTCTTTTCTGTCTCCTCTCCACTGTCTGCTGTTAAATAAAAAAAATACCAAAAATACTTACAAATACGAGTTGCTCTTGATGAGTGACTCCAAACCTTGGGGCCGTGAACAGGTCAGAAGGTGTTCAATAACTATAAAGAAAAGAAGAAAACCATATTTCAGTACAGTAAATATCACATAGTGGATCGACTGTTTAAACTGTCATCGTGTAACTACACTGTTAACAAGACGAGACGCATCACAGTCTGTCTGATTCATCTCAGCGGGTGACTGATTGATTGATCACGTCTTACGTTTGCTTCACAGTAATTAATCAGAGTTCAAAGTTAGTTTTGATCAGCGGGAGCGGACGCTGCTTTCAAAATGACGACTCCGTAAACGTCGGAACTGCACTTGAAAGAAAACAAGGGAACATAAAGGCGACTGTGGCAAAGGAAAAATCAGGAGAGTTCACACTAATAGACGATTACCTTTATGTTATTTCAAGACCAGTTTTAATGAAGAAACATTTGCTAATTGACGCATTAATGAGCTTAACTAATGGCCTCATTAGTGAAAGTGAGTGTGTTTAATACATCATGGTGATTACAGCCCAACATTAAACAGCTCAAGTCCCTCTGGTGTAAATACATGTTTATGGTCATTTCTCTCTTTTAAGCTTCAGTGTCATCATTCAATTTATTATTGTCTCTCTGTGATAATGGAGCATTATTCTCTCTCCACAGTTGCCTAAATTAATATTTTCAAGTTGCACTAATTTGCCTGCCTGTTGTCTCGCTCGTGTCATTCCAGTTTTTCTACTCTGTTTGAATCTGATTGGTTATCTGATGCAGTTTTGCTGCGGCATGCAAAATCTGGCTGCCGGCAGACAAAATACATAACCTGATATTACAGAGTGCAGGGTGAAGCAGAGGCAGAGTTTGGTCGCCAATTAAACACAATCACAGGCTTTCCGCTCGGCTTTAATGATGCTGAAAATTAGTTTGAGCTTGGAAAACTGCAAGATCTCTGTTTTGTTTCTTTTCTTACACTCTGCCTCAGCACGGGCTGCTAAGTGCTTATTACTGCACTGGTTTTTTTTAATCTGGACTTCCCCCGAGACCAGCTGTCTTTTCAGTGGAATTTCTCTTGGTGAAGTTAGAGGCAGCATTGTTCTCTTTCGCTGTTTGTGCTTATCACCCACTTCTTGTGTGTTTTCTGGAGAAACTGGACATGCAACCTGCATCATTTCCTGTCTGCCAGATCATTTTCCGAAGAAATTCTTAACAAACAGTGGGTGCAGCAAATGCAAAGCTTTTATGAATTGTCTCTAGCAGCTGTGACGTGTATCTAAGTACATTTACTCACAAAGGCAAAAGACCTTAATTCATCGGCGTGTAGAACTAAGAAAAAGCTGCATGACATCAGAAATGTGGCGATTCTCTGTTTTCTTCAACACAGCCTTTTATCGTCGTTAAAATCTTAAGCTCAGACTTGATCTTTGACCCTTATTCTGCAGTTAAGCTACTCTGCATTTGTATTTAATGCAAAGCAATGCAGGGTCATGCTGAGGCAAAAGGTGTTAACCTCCATCTGATCTCTCACTTGTTGTTGATCAGAGTAAGCAGGGTTGGGTCGGTGTAGAAATTTTTAAACAGCTTCCTGTCAATCTACCTCCAGCTAACTGCCACCTTGTTTTGGTATTGTGTCATTTTGTTTTTTTTAGATAAGTCATTTCAGCGCAATCAATCAGACATTCCTTGTCCGTTGCAGCGACAAGGGACAAAGGTTCAGCTCAGATCTGCAGCCAGTTAGGACACATCTTTTGTTGGCTTTAAACCTCATCTCGTCACCCCAAAAAACACACATACTTTCTAGTAAACAAAAGCCCCGTTTCCACCGAGCAGTGCGGTTCAGTTCAGTTCGCTTTTCTTCTGTTTCCACTGTGAAAAGTTGTGGATGTACCAATGGAGCCGTTCCGTACCATTCCCATGTTTGGTCCCCCCTCTGTTGGGGTACCTAGCACACAGATCTGGTACTAAAAGGTGGAGCTGTGAACACTGCAGTCTGATTGGTCAGTAGAGGACGGTCACTCTGCTCTGGGCTGAGTTGTGTCTGGTTTTGAGGCTCATGTAACCACTGTTCATACTGTGGAGAGTTTTATTAGTAAACTGTAACTATAAAATTAGTAATGAGTGGATCTTCAAGCGTTTATATATATTAATTTTGACCAGGTTATGTGAACCGCATATATTCTAATCCTCACACGGAGAAAAAACAGCGTCAGAAAGTGTCGTTCCTGTGGGCTCCAGCAACACTAAACCCCTGAGCTTGCCTGAGAAGGACTAAATGCACAAAGCTGCTATTTTTAAATATCCCATTGAGAGAGACTCTCACTGCAGCCTGTTCTATTTTGTTCTGAAAATGTCGGCGTGCAGCCTCGTTCTGTGGACGAGAAAGAAAGTGCAGACTGATAAAGGAGGAAATACAGTGAGTGCTGGACGGAGCAGTGAGTGACAACAACCCGCCCACATTTAAGAGGACTGTTTGTGGTGGAAACACTAGGGTCTAGGTACCATGTCTGAAGGGTTACTGTTGGTTCCAAAGGTACCATACCGAATGTAATTAGTGGAAACAGGGCTTAACTCAATATGTGCCACTCTCACCTCTACTGAAGTTTGATGTTCGTCATGTTGTAGGCCTTGGCTGGGCTGTAAATTGTGCATAGACTGTAGGAAACTGTCGTTATTACCTGTGCAATACAAGGTGGATTTAGTGCAGTGATGCTGCTGATGTAGGCTACTTTACCTTTTTCTCAAACCGTTTTAAGAGCGCACACTGGACCAGACCAGACCGGCAAAACTCTCAACTCAAGTTAAGTCTGTAGTGTTTTTTTTTTTAAACCTCTCTGACTTTGATTGTCTTTTGATGGTCCATTACCAATTTATATCAGATTGGGTAAACTAATATTTATATTGAATCAAAACCAAATCAAACCTTACAATATTAGTTTTCCAATCTCTTAATGTTGCAAGTTGCAAAAAGAGTTACCTCATTCTTGGGTAAACAAACCATTCTCAACGCAACAAAACACAGCCAAAGAACCTTAAGTTAAGTTGCAGGATTTTGCCTTGATTTTCAGAACTTTTCTAGTTAAGGCAAAGACAACTCACTATTTTTAACAAAAAACAACACAGGATATTTGTCCCAAGTGACAGAGCAGCCACTGATTATTCTAGAAATGAACAAAAGTATTTTTTGGATAATGGAGTTAAGATCTTTTGCCCTTCAGTACTGAACTTATGTAGCAGTTTGAGGTACCTTAGTTGAGTGCTTGCTATTACACTTGCTAATACAATATTTACCACTGAGATAAAGTACAAGTAAAAAGTTGCATAACTTTTTACTTGTACTTTATCTCAGTGGTAAATATTGTATTTTTTTTTTTAAATTTTATTTAGAACAAAATTGGAGCACAGTTCTTACATCATATTGTAGTTCCATATCATTTTTATTTTCCTTTTCTTTGAAGGTAAAGTAACAAAACATTCAAATGGATCTGTTGTATATATGACAACAGAGTGAAAAAATTAAATTTCCCCTCAGGGATTAATAAAAAATTAGTGTGAGTGGGCGGAAGTTCACTGCATAGATCAGCCTCTCGTTAGGCGGAATGAGCCACCCACTGAAGTCCCGCCCTACCACCTCCGGTTGCAGTTTTCAACACGTCCTTCACTAACTTCTGCAGTGTTTGATCTTGCAGGGATGTAGCCATTTTTCTGCCATGGTTCGTGTCCTGTAGGCAATATTTTTGTGGGCGTGTTACACCAAAACCTGTTTCCCCCCGGCAATATTTTTGCAAGCGCACCGTTGCTGTGGCACCGCCCAGAACGATTGTGATTGGTTGAAAGAAATACAAGCAGCTGGGGCATTTTTTTTCTCCAATCTTAAAGTGAGAGTCGGCCCAGCCAGACCTTTCTTTTCTTGAGAAAGGTCTGGTGAGCGAGACTAATAAAGAATATAAATAAATGAAAAAAAAAAGGGTATAGGTATATAGGTATTTATGTATATGTATAGGTAAATAAATAAAAAAGGATTTGGCAAGAAGGAAATACACAAATTAAATAATTGAAATTAAAAATAAAAAAAAATTCACCCTTACAAAAATAATAGGTAAATAGTTACAGATAAAACAAAGCAATAATAAGCACTTGCTGAATCAATTAATTTTTGTACCTTTAGACATAATCCAATAAACCAGAAGAAATATTATACTTTTACTGCACTACATTTGTCGACAGCTTCAGTTACTTTTCAGATTACAACTTTTAATTCTCTTCCTGTCCAGTGAAAACCACGTATCTCCAGATGTGCTGATGTTGTTTGTGATAAACTGAAAGATGAAGTGTTCCTTTATGTGCTGAGAAAATTCTCCTACTTCTTAAGCTAAATAAACTTGTCAAGAACCGTCTTGTATTTAGGACTTTGACTTGTAGTGAAGTATCTTCACAGTGTGGTATTAGAACTTTCACATAAGTAAAAGATCTGAATACTTCCTCCACCACTGCTCTTTAGTTTCAGTCTTTGTTATGGTGCTGTGAAGGGACGGGCAGTTTGGAAATGACCTGACAGATCAGCACATTAACTCTCTGTGTCTTTTCTGTTCCAGGGCTGTCGAGGAAAGTGAGAGATGCAGTGAAGAATAAGTGACACACCTCAGGTCAAAGGTTAAACGCTCACCAGGAAGTGGAGTTGCAGGATGCAGTCTCTCGCCAAGGAGCAGCCGTTGGCCCTCACTGCGGTGAAGTCACACTGTCCAACCAATGGGAAAGAAGAAGAGGTGAAAACAGGTGAGGAGGCTGTTAAGCTTTATCTCTGCTGTAAATGTGACCGGGTCAGTTTCATGACATGAGGAAGTATTATTATATATTGATGGACAAAAATGTGAAAGAACTATCAATAGATATCAATAGATACTTAAAGGAATAGTTCACCCCTCAAATGATCATTTGTATATCAGTTACTCAACTTGTGTTATGTTACTTTTGTGAAGAAAACTTTGTTTTATTTGCATCACTCCACGGTGAACGAAGAATCCAAAAACTGATAAAAGTCTTGATGAATTGAAGTCATAGGGGTCCACGTTTAACAACAGCAAAACTATATCAAAACACCCATTTACAAACTCTCACACAACTCATGCAGTATAATTCAAGTCTCATTTATCCAGTTGTATGCTCAGTACTTCTGAAACAGTCATTTCTTTATGACAGGGAACCAAATTAAAAAAATGGATCTGCACTCCCTTCAAAGCCAGACTCCATTGACAAAAAGCGTAATTTTATCTCGCTGAACACAGGAGCTGTTGGTTATTTTGTTGGCGTTATTGTGTGACTTTGGTGTTTTAATGGGTTAATTTGGATTTAGCAAAGTCACACAATAAAGGAGGATCTATACTTGTGAGTCAGCTTTATTAAACACAGCTTCATAGAGACAGTTTCAAACACAAGTACACAAATCAGCTTCACTATAACTCGCAGCATTCACAGACAAACTTTATCTGTATCTTTGTCTTTATCTGGACACATTTTCCCCACAAATACAACATGCTAACGTTATTAGCACAAGCCTATTTGCCATTGTATAAATTAGCCTAGCAGCTAGCGGACTTTTCTTCTTCTCATATGAAGCCAGGGACAACAGCAACATTTAACAAAGGTAACGTTACAAAATTCGGCTCCATTACAACTCACAAGGTTCACTGACAAAACAACTGTCTTATACTAAACACATTTTCCAAACAAATACAACATGCTAACGTTATTAGCACAAGCCTATGGTATTTAACATTGTATAAATTAGCCTAGCAGCTAGCGGACTTTTCTTCTTCTCATATGAAGCCAGGATAAATCACACACAAGACTTACAATGCTATTTTTGTGGAGGCTTTATTGTCTTCACAATTTATTGTTTCTTATCTGTGAAATTAAAGTAAATAAAAGCTTTGTTTCCACTGAGGGAAATGGTTTCAGCTTACAGAAACAGACAGGAGGTCTGCGTCGCTGCAACGTGTAGTTACATTTCTGCGGAGGTGCACGTCAGGCTACGACAAACAGTAGGGTACGGTGTAGGTTCTACGTCAAAATCCTGCGTAACACAGGGTGAGTAATTGACATATTTAAATAGTCATTTGTGGGGTGAAATATTTAATGGTTGTAGGCCTTATCATCTCTCCTGGTTTTCCTTCATATTTTCATACATCGACCAGAGATAATGGTCTAAAACATTGCTGTTAGCAATTACTTTTTGCTCTGTAATTTATTCGCTATGAGGCCAAATCAGAGGAAAGGAATCAACAGAATTCTAGATAAACAGATGAACTGCTGTCATAAAAAGAAAATCGAGTTAATTTCAGCAGTGAGTGTGTAAGTGGTGTAATGTTTGACACAGTTGGGTGCTAAGGGTTAGGCTCTGTTTGTTAACAAGTGTGTGTGTGCATGAGAGGAAGGGAGCAGAGCATCTACAATCTATTGAAACAAACTCTGTCGAATATCAGCTTCCTACATCTCATTAGCCAGAGCAGGTTCAGTCCTGCTCTCTTCACACTGAGGAGCCTCCAGAGACACAACACACACACTCAGCCTTCACACACTTAACACAAACACACACACATACAGAAATACAACAGAGAGAAAACTGACACATAATAGCTGTATCAGTATCCCACAGGTAAAGTGAACAATTCTCACCTTCAGCAGAAACATTACTGACATTTCATTTGACGACTTGTAAAAGTGGCGTGCACACAAACACACACTGATCACTTCCTGTTGTGTCCTGGAAAGATGAGCTACATTCACAAAGCATCGAGACTGTGCATTTAATCGCTACCTGTTTGCTATCCCAAAAATGAAATATATAATATCGGCGACGACTAAAGGATTATTTCATTCATTCAGATGCAGACTCCATGGAGGAAGAGGCGGAGTTTAATTGGGAGGAGTACATGGAGGAGACGGGGGCTAACGCTGCCCCTCACACCACCTTCAAACATGTGAGTGACTGCATATGATCTCCACATCGCACTTTAAAACACCCCATCCCTCTGTGATCCTTTAAATACAGCCTCATAGATAAGTACGGCATGCAGAAATCCTTTAACGACATATTGGAGGGAGCCAGGCTGTGACATCACAGCGCTAATGCTGCTCAATAGAGCGCTCTCATAGGCTTTGTTCCCTCATGACGCACAAGTTGTTAGACGACCTTTGCTGGTTGCTGAATACACAATTGAAGGTAATTACGGAGGTACAAAAGACAACAATACAATGGATACAAATGAGCACCGTGCTGTGTATGTGTGTGTGTGTGTGTGTATGTGTGTGTGTGTGTGCTGCTGAAGGAATATTTTCACCAAACTAACAGGGACAGAAAAGTGAAAGGTGAAACAAACAGTTAAATCCTGGTTATTCACTTTTCTGAGGCACATATTTATATTTTGGGGGCTGGGTGATGATGTTGAAAGTATTATCACAATCAACAACTGCTTCTAAGGTCAACTCAACTAAGTCCAAACAAGGAAACGGTCTCAAATCTGTGTCTATTTTATTATTAGTCTCTGATACAGCACTTTTTTCTGTGTCTGCGGTGATGACAGCCGTGGCCGGAAGCAGTACGTTTGTGGGTTGTCCGTCCGTCCCATTCTTGTTAACGTAATATATTAAGAATTCCTTGAGATGGAAATCTCTTCAAATTTGGCCTAAATGTCCACTTGGAATTAACAATGAATTAAATAGATTTTGATGGTCACAGGTCACAGGTCAAAAGTCAAAGTCACTGTGACCTTGTCTGTCTGATTCTCGTGAATGCAAAATCTCAGAAACACCATGAGGGAATTTCTTCAAATTTGGCAATAATGTCCACTTGGACTCAAAATGAAATGATTAGATTTTGGTGGTCAAAGGTCAAGGTCACTGTGACATCACTGTGTCATTCTTGTGAATGTGATATCTCAAGAACACCTCAAGGGAATTTCTTAAAATTTGGCAAAAACGTCTATTTTGATACAAAGATGAACTGAAAATTGCAGAACTGAAACTTCTCCAGTGTGCCAAGGAGTATGCTGGCCAAAGCCAAAATGTGAATAACACTATGTAGAGCCAGTGTTTGGTTCCTCCATTCTGGGCTACTGTAGAAACAACATGGCGGACTCCATGAAGGAGGACCCGCTCTGTATGTAGACATAAATGGCTCATTCTGAGGTAACAAAAACTTGATTCTTACTTCAACATGCACTTATGAAAACATGAATTCTACTGGGTTTCCCTCACACTTCATCTATTAAAACTTCTGCCAACACATGTTGATTTTCTAGTTTTGGAGCTGGACGGTTCATAAGAAGTGCTGTTGGAATATTTATTGCTCCACAGTCTTAAACTGCAGAGCATACTGTGGGCACACACTGAGCACCAGAACTTAAGGCACATTGAAAGTCAAACCTAACCATTCATCGCGTTAGAAGTTCCTCTGCAGCAGTTGCTCCTCTCATCTCTTGATGTGATCTGATCAGCTGGGATCAGATCGACTGACCCGTTATTCACCCCGTGACTTAAAGCTCCGCAAACTGCTGCTGAGGGAAAAAAAGATGTGCTCACTGATCCGCAAAAACATCCAAATTTAGAGAGGGGATGCAAATAGGCAAGAAAAAAAACCAACCACGATGACACACACACACTGACTCACAAGGTGAAAACAATACCAGTCGACTTGATGTTGTTGCAGCTGGTAATTACTGGGATCAGACTCCAAAGTGTGTCAGTTATTGTTGCAGAAAATAAACATCAGCTACATTGCTAAACCTAAATTACCTGAAAACTTACCAGGGAAATGTCCTTAATGGTAGACCAAGCCCTGCATGCAATTTTTTAATTACAAGTCAGGAATCGTTAATTTGGTCAACAGAACGACAGCATGATATGATCAAATTATCGCAGCTTGATTTTCTTTGTAAGTGCAGAGGGTGCCAGAACCAAAAGTGACATCAAGTGTTACCTTGCACCAAATTACTGAGAGTGTTAGCCATGTGTGTTTCTACAGGAGGCCTGATCTTTATCTCAGATATCTGAGTCAGGAAACGACGCACAGCTGAAATTCTCAAGAAAACTGATTCATCACATTCAAGAGAAAGGGAGCACAACATAAAACCTGTCTGAAATGTCATCAGTATGATCAGGGTTGATGCAACACAGATAGTGCAAGAAAGGAAAAGGTACTTTTTTTTGGCAGTGACCCTGCAGACCAGTTGCGCTCTGCTCTGACTCTCTGGGCTGAAATTCATATCTCATATGTGAAGTGAAGCACAGCAAGCTGACTTAGATCAGACAGACAGTTATAGTCCAGGTCAGCTGAGAGGTCAGCTGAGCTGCATGTTGCCCTCACCAACTGGGCAGCCCTGTTTAACATGTCAGGCTCACCTGTTTAATCTCTGCCTGCTGCTGCTGCCTAGTACAGATCTCATACATCTACAGGAGTGGAAGTAAATCTCTGTACTTACACTTGTTTTTAGAGGAAGGGTTTCTGTTCTTATATGCTAGCGACATACGTGGGTGCAGAGTAACTGAATTAAGGTTTTTTTTCCAAACAGAAAACTGAATCAGCTAATCTGTTTTTCTGCTAAACGTCGTTCTTCTTTATGTTAAGCTCAGCAGAACTGCAGCAGTGCTAAGATGATGATGAATTTACTTTCCAGGGCAAAGCTGACATCTGTTGAACATAGTCACAATAGCCAGATGTCAATTTGACTGTTTTTAAGAACCAGAAGTTGGCACTGAGTGCATGGTCTCATTTTCAGTCTTGTTGGTTTAGTCTCTAATCAGATATTTCCTGACTTCAAATCTTTTACTTTTTAGTAATTTCACACACTGTTTTATTTCGGCGCAGTTATCGTACAGTGGTTTTGCTGAAGGGGCACTCCACCAATTTTATGACATAAAACATAAAACAGATATAAACTGTTAAGTACTTCAACTTGTGGAAACAACTGTACACGTCTTTTTCGTCTCTAGATGATACTTTGAGTAATTCCAGCCCGAGTTTGAGAGAGTACAAATGTTTAATCAATCCCATTTCCAGAATAAATGTTGGCATCGTATATTTTTGAAGACCACAAATGTGTCACATTTGTTTATTAAGTTTATTATGTAGTGGATACATTGAAACTTAACATTTCAACAAAGTTGTGGTAAACATCTTGTAGGTTAAGGCACAAAAACCATTTCATAATGGTTAGGAAAAGATCAATAAAGTACCTGCTTTTCGTGGCTCCTTACTGGCAGGAAACACACCAAAGTATTTCAAGGTATTTTTGCGATGACAATACTCTAGACGATATGACAAATTATTGTTAATTTGAGAAAACAGTATTGTAACAAAATATAGTTTTACAGTTTGCTTAAAATATTCAGTAAAAACTAAAGAAAAATAATCCCTCATTTCTTTAGTTTGTGAACAACAACAGTAACTCAGAGTGAGATTCAGATTCTGTTACAATATTAATAGTTCAACAAAATAAAATCTACCACAAATTACACATTTAAACAGCTCTCAAATACAAAAAAATGTCCCCTGGGATCTATATATATAAATCAACAGGTGATTTCCTTCTTTTAGTAAAATCCTAAATGATTGAGTTGTTGTTTTTTCCACCTGGACCTTTATGCTCTGCCATTTCTCCTCTTATCATCACGCTGTAACCTGTGACAGGCTGTTAAGACACCACAACTATCACACGCTCACATATATGGAGTTTTTTGTCGAGCTGCAAGCGTCACACAGGTTTACATTACCAAAGATTTATGACAAAATCACTTGACGACACAGCAAGAGAGGAGAGGGAGAGACGCTGTGCTGCTGCCAGAGGAGCAGCTGAATGAGTTCCCTCTGAGCGGTAAGTCACTAAAAGAGTCTGAGAAGTCCGGGGCTGTTCATAAAACATTCAGGACGCCACAGTTTATTCCACACTACTGAAGCTGCTCCTCTTTATGGAACCACCAAGGAGTTGGTAATAATTTCACTTTCAACCATGCTTGTTGTTGCCGTGGGTAACAGTATGACATCGATATGTCAACAAGTCAAAATTCCGCAAGTAGCATGTTATGAATTTTTCATATGATATTAAAAAATATGGCAGTATTATCGTGAACAAGATGATATGGCACACCCCTAATCTATACCATCAGGAAATGCAGCAACTTCTTGACCGCGTTTCATGACTCCATATTAGCAGGAATTGCAGCAAAGTCTCTGTAAAAAACTTCCGCTTTTCGTGGCACTATACCCCAGTGAAAACACAGTGACATGCCGCTAAAAAACACCTACTGTTGTTGCCTAAAAAGCTGCTGGAAACAGCGATGACTCGACAGTTTTGTGGTGTATTGGTCTCAAACAGTGGTTTGCAGCTTGGCAGGCGTCTCACTTTGGTTTCACGCCATTCGCCATCCCCTCCATCTACTGATGTCAAGTCAGCTCATATACTACATCACTTTAGAAACGTTAACATGATATGTAATGTACAAGTGTGATGTATTTGTGGTTTGCAGATGCGTACAATGCAAACATTTTCTTAACTGAGAGACAGTGTTGAGTAATGAAGACATTTGTGCGATAAAAGAAAGTTCTCTATAGAAAAACATGTTTAGAAGCAGTAAACTGAGGTCTCAAATAAAGTATTGTTTTGGTACCTTAAGTCAGGTTTGGAAATCGGAGCAGCACTGAAAGACACTTTGAGCTGCAGTGTCTTTAAGAAACGTTTGTTTCTCTGCCAGCTGGAGTGGATTTTGCTCGGCTGGCATTAGCTCATTGTTTGAGTGTTTATATTTGTACAGTGTTATTATTAGCCTGTCAGTCACCTGTACAGCACACTAACCTGCATGAAAGGCGTTATGCAAGTGAAGTTTGGTTCAAGTGTTAATTAACTGCTGCAGCGCCTTTGTATTACAGCTGTTTACTTTGGGAGTTTAGCATGTTAAGACAACTCAACTAGTTTCATGAAGAGAC